GCCACAGGGAAGTGGATAAGTGACTGAAGCTGAGACGTCAAGTCATGACTGATAATATTGCAGATTCTTCTTTGGATTTTATCAAGCATCTCTAAATGCATAAATTTCAATTTCGTTTATGATAATCATTAAACATAACACATAAATGTTGTATGTTAATGCTTGATTCAAGTTTTATAACCAAAAATTGTCAGAAAAAATAAAATGTTCTCACTTTGTTTATTAAAGCAAAATTACTTCTTTCAATTGGATAATAATTCTTGAAGAAAATAGCAACAAAAAGAAGAACACTTATTCTCAGAATCAGGAACAGATGGGGAATTTCTTGGTTGCATAAAGAGGAAGGAGGGCTGGGTAAACTTGAGGGCAACTGAGATAGAAGACAGTGAGACATCTACTTGACAAACTTGTAAGAATGGATGGTAGAACAAGGAGCAAAGGCCTTAGAAAAAAATTAAAAAAACTGTTAGGGGCCACAAGAGATAGGGAAGTTTCGAGGTCCATAATTACACATGTCCTGACACAGCATATAGAAGAAGAATGTAATAATGTTTTTCAGATAAATGACTGAATTTATCTGAATTTAAATTCTTCAATGTTCATTTTTCATTCAGATTTAATTCACCAGCTTAAGTGTTTGCGTGTTTAACCTCCACTTAGTAAAAGCATGGTTAGAATGCTAGCATTATAACCATGAGAGCTGGGTTCAAATCTCCCCATGGTTGATTTGTAGGGGAGGTGTCTTCTTGTTATTAAAATTTCATAGATGAAACACTTCAAAAGTAATTGAATTTATACTTGATCATGCCAGATTATATGCTCTCTCTAATGTCTGTTCATCATAGTTGCCATATAAGCCACAATATGTCTGAGCAGGCATCTGCAACAGGGATCATCTAGTCACCCTAGCAGGTATATATATATATATATATATATATATATTAAGAAATGGACAAAGTCCGACAATGTATTTATTAAAGACATTTTTATGTTTAACGTTCTTTTTTATAGATACAAGTATTTAAGTTTATTATAAACAGACCATTTACTTAAATACATGTATCTATAAAAAAGAACGTTAAACATAAAAATGTCTTTAATAAATATATATATATATATATATATATATATATCGGATACCAATAACCAGCTTTACTAATCAAAATAATTTTTTATTTTAATTTTAAGAATTATTTTTACTACCATATCACATTGAAACACAAGTTCCCATATAATCACCGAAGTTAATCAGCATCAAGCCTGATCAGTAACTAGATCGGTGGGTGTCCACTTGGTAATACCAGGTTCTGTAAGCTTGGATGTGTGGGTGGTGTAATGGATAATGGCTCAAAATTGTTAATTGGAGAACTGAGTTCCAATTCCAGTCAGGTTGGTTATATTCACTTACACGCAAATATCCTTGGGAAAGGTCTGAAGCTACTGCTTACCCACCAGGTAAGAGTTAATTAGTAGGACTTTTTTACTTGGTCTAAGATAAGTTTACATGAGTGAGGTACCCAGCATTGACAGATTTCAATACTGTAAAAAGTATCTTGCCCTGCAGTAATATGACTTTATGGTTGGCTGACATCACAGCAGCAGTGCACTCATGGTCTAAGGTCATTTGTAGAATCAGATGGTTGCCTAGGTATAAAGTTGGAGAGAAAAAGGGACATGAAGTAGTCAATAGGTGAAGATATTCTTCCACTTGAGAAGAAATAATCTGCTTTTTAAAAAAGGGATTTTGGTTTTAGTGGGAAGTAATCTGATTTGTTGGCTTATATTTTAATTTATTTTTTATTTCTAAACAGAAGATCTGTGTGATCCAGCTGTGATGAGACATGATTTTAGTCATTTATCCTTTAGTCATGGAAAACATGTTAACTTCCAATTCATGCCCTTATCACTACAACCTCTTTCCTTTCTTTTATATATAACTAGCAACCATTGCCAGCTGGTTGATCAGAAAAAGCATTCAATTAGAATGGAGCAAAAACAGCATCATGTTTAGATGTAACAGAATCTATCTTCTTCAATTACTCTAAAGTACTTTCATTAAAAAACATTTTGAATTAATTCAGTTACTGAAATAACAGAATTAGTCTGTATTTATTCAATTGAAGTTAGCTGAGGTACATGAGGGGGTAAAACAGGCAACATGAAGACCCACTTCAGACCACAATTATTTTGGAGTTTTTGAAATTCAATTTGTCAGTGTGCTACCAGGATACATTTATACAAAGATACAAAGAGGATACATTTATAAAGCAATTGTTAAGTTTGATGAAAATTGGATGAAAGATCAATGAAAAATAAGAAAGAAACCAGTAAAAATCACCATTTTTCACTATTTACACAGGTTTTCACTATATGGGTGGACTCAGTTATCCAGTTAAATGACTGTTAAACAATCAATTTATTGTTGGCTACAATTTAGTGAAGTTTGTATTAGATGGCTTGAAAATTGAAGGAGTTTTTAATTTAAAATTTGTGTTGAAATCAATTTTTCACTTTTTGTGTTTTTTCACTAAACACAGTGGTATAGAAATAAAAATGAGGTATCATTGAGCTTGTCATGATGTAAGTAACCTATATACCGAGTTTGAATGAAATTGGAGGAAAAAAGTTGAATTTATCAACTTTTGATCGGCCTTATTGATTACTGATTTTTTTTTAATTATTGATTTTTTATTCTAAGAACCTATCTCTTACATTGTACAATGTATATGCCAAGTTTGGTCTAAACCTGTTTGAGGGATCTCAAGTGAAAAGGTATCACATGGACAGACAGACACAGAGACATCCTCTGTTTTATATATATAGATAATTGAAATGACAGCATTCTTACCATCTTGATGCAATTCTACAATCATCATCTGTTGAAGTCTCTAAATCTGTTAACTTCATTGATAAAGAGAAAACAATTTTTCAAAATAGCTTTCATGTTGGCAGTTAGATCTTTGTTCAATTTCTTAGATGTGTTCATCGAAACTTAATATGTTGCAGGTGTTAATTAGAATTTTAAAAATTTTCTGTCAGGAAATAAAAGTAAGTTTCTTCTATAATTCAAAACTTTAACTTCTGCCCTGTCAGTGTGCTCAAGAATATATTCTTTAGAGAGGTACCTCACAAAAGGGGCTATCTGTTTACTATATGTTTACCTTTTTGATTCTTCAAACTGGACATATGTTTACCTTTGTTTTTGTCTCATGCAAACCAGATCTTTATCTACATATATATATATCATTTATCAAATTAACAGTATTTGCAACATAATAATGTGGAAATGGTTGATGTTTTGTAAAACAAACTAAACAAAACAAAACCAAAACTGTAGCTAAGAAAGAGCTCTAGTCCCAGTGTCCAGACATATTCGTTTTATTAGTATCTTATGTATCTTTACCACTATTACTAAATGCTATTGTTGGTATAGTAGCATACTATCTGGTCCAATTAATAAAACCCTTTTAATTATTAGATTGCCCTCCCCACCTCCAAATGAAAATTGAAATATGTATTTTACATTGTCTGTAGATTCTAGTAGTCTATCGGCAATTCCTCTGTATGTACCCCAACACTGCATCACAGACTGAATCAACAACAGACAATTTTTCTTCTGATTTATTTTTTTACATGCTTCATAAAAAGGCTTATGGCCATATTATGTTGAAACACCAATTCTTATACAAGCTCTGAAGCAATGTCAAGCCTAGTCAGAGGTGAGTGACCTCTTGGGAGTACCAGGTTCTGTAAATTTGGATGTGTGAGTAGTTTAATAGATAATAGATCAGAATTGGAAATCAGAGAGCCAAGTTCCAATTCATTATATTCACTTATGCAAAAATAACCTTGAGAAAGGTATGGATTCATATCTTATCTTCCCAGCTATGGGTTAATTATTAAGACTTGCATCAGTAAATCATTATTATTTACAAAAAATTCTTACACTCTAAAGATATTTCTGGCTTTAAATAACACATAAAATGTTGATAAGCCATAAAAAAAAAATTAATCAAGCAATCAATTAAAAGCTTCATAACAAGGGAAAGGGCATAGTAGACATCATTTCTTGGAGGAAGCCAGAAGCAGAGGAAGATAGAAAAAATGGATGTCAATAGATTGGCTAGCTACCTGTCATCTGCATTTGGATAGCTTGTCTCCATATTGGAACTACATCACACAAATGACATTTGCAAAGGGAAGGCTTGGGTGAGCACCAGAGCTTGTGGCTACTCTGCTGCTGCAGTTGTACTGCCCATTTTCATGTGTTTTCAATCTTTTCTCAAAACTTAAAAATAATCGGTCATAGTTAGGATTCCTCACCCACTCAATTCAAGTTGTCAAATTTTTTACTAGTACAGTACAATTTGCCATTTTTTCTTAGTCTACACATTCTTTAACAATAAATGCTAATTGGATACACACCTGCTATTGTAGTACTGACATCAGAAGTCTGCAAAATGTATTGTGTTAATTACTGTATTTATAATTTTTATTTTTTCCATAGTTAGGATTCCTCACCCACTCAATTCAAGTTGTCAAATTTTTTACTAGTACAGTACAATTTGCCATTTTTTCTTAGTCTACACATTCTTTAACAATAAATGCTAATTGGATACACACCTGCTATTGTAGTACTGACATCAGAAGTCTGCAAAATGTATTGTGTTAATTACTGTATTTATAATTTTTATTTTTTCCAAGTGACCAGCATGCAGTTCCATCAAAACTAACAAGAATGATTGTTCTGCATTCTTGTGGGCAATGTAAGAGACCTCTTTCTACTTGAGTGGGTGTTTATATATCTAATTGTCATATAGTTTGTCCCACATGTGCACATTCTAGATGCAGCAGGGTCAACTATGTGTTTGCATGTTGAGGTAAGAAGTAAGAACAAAATTTAGTACAAAAGTAGTTACAAATTGTCTCAGAAGGGGTATTTAAAAAATAAGATTATATTACTACTTATCTTTCTACAAAAAGTTCCTTTTATTTTTCAGGATTTGCTTGTGCTACAACTGCTGTATATGTTGCAGAATGTTCTCCAAGCCATATGCGTGGCCGTCTGGTCAGCATGTGTCAACCATTTTTGACTGTAGGAATTTTATTTGGCACGATCATTGCTGCACTCTTCAGTTATGACAAGGTGAATGGATGGAGGTAAGTACAGTTCACCCTGGGTATCCACAGGGTATTGACCTCAGAACACTCTGCAGATACCAAAACTGTAATATTGCTGTTGTACTGACTAATGTAAATGCAAAACTAAATCTCTCATACTTTCTTTGAATGAGGATTATGCATTCCCTCTTTCCTCTCAGGTGGGTGCTTATATATCTAATTTCATATGGTTTGTCCCACATGTGCACATTTTAGATGCTGCAAGATCAACCATGTGGTTACATGTCGGTGGCAGTCACTGGCATCTAGTGCAAGTGTAGATTTGCATCTGGCAGCTATTAGATTATCTCTCAGGTCAAACCGCTGATGCTCCTGCCTTGTCTGATTGACATTGAGTACAAAATCCATCTGAAGTAAGGCATATACTAAACATACATCCCTTATAAAAAAATGGCATAGAATTTACATATAGCCTGCAAACATCTTTCTATGTACTTTAAATCATCATTAGATTTCTTATAATTCTATGAAAATCATTATGGGCAGTGAACACTGCCTCCATTTTCTAGAATCTACCAAAAATAATCTAATTATTTGATAAAAGTTTTTATTATTTACTTAATAAAGGAAAATATTTTTAAATGTATTTCCATTCTAAAATTAAAAGAAAAAGAATAGTGTACAGAACACAGCAAGCAAATGAAACACAAAGCAAACAATGCTCAAACAAGTGCTGACACTACACCAGGGCATAACTACACATCATTTCATTTGCTTAGATTCAGCATAATACTCAGGGTATATATAGTGGACACTGAGATCAACACCGAGTGGTGACAATCTATTTCATGCTGTCAGTCTTCATTTTTATATTTATATTTACATATGCTCTATCCCTGATAAATCACATAAATACAGCATACCTTAAAAGTATATTTTTATCATATATGTGTGTGTGTGTGTGTGTGTGTGTGAAGTGTGTGTGTGTGTGTTGCAGAGTGATTAGTTTGTTTGAATATATTTTTGGTTAGAAGGATATTTTTAGTTTGGCTGCATGAACAAAATTAACATCTCCACAAACATTTAGATTATTTGCATGTATTTGGCTGTCAAAACCAAAATATAAGCCAATAATGTTTTCTAGAAATAACAAAACATTTTTATATCAACAATATACAAAAACTGAAGAATGAATTTACTCAGGTAATTTAAACTGAGTTGCAAATTTTTAAATTGATGTTTATCACACCAAAAATTTTTTTATGGCAGGCAAAAATGTTTGTTCAATTGTGCATGTCAATATGTAGCATTTATAATTAATAATACGTATAGCAGGAATTATTTACCTTTAACTGTTATTTGAATTAGTTAAGACTTTAAAAAAGATTTATTTTTTACCTGAACTCACTAAAAAAAATATCAGCTCAAGAAATAATAGTAAGTTTCAATGGAAAGAATGTTCTTTGATGGTAAGCTGAAATTTGGTGTAAGATGAGTTCAAACTTGTTAATTGAGAGAAAATGTAATCTTCACTTGAATATTGAAAAGTTGTATTTGGTACTAAAAATGTAGTTTTTAGTTTAACACTTTTGAGTTGAAATCAGCATAAATATATTGAAGTATCTTGCTGCTCAAATTCATTCACTGTATAGGAATGACATTGGTTGAGATGAATTGAGTCAATGTGTTCTGGGAAGCTGAGATTTGTTGATAAGAAACTTTTATCCCCAAAAGATTTGACATAAAATTTCTCACTGGTAAAAATTGATAATAGTCGAAAGTTATATTCTCTCGAATGGCATGTTTGTTGCTGAAGAAAATCTCACTGTTAGAAGTTAATAAGCTTCTGTGTCCTTGTAGCTGAAGGAGTGAATAGGTTGAGTTAAGAGATGTGCAATGTTTGTACATATATATGTGTGTGTGTGTGTGTGTCTTTCCAGAGAAATATCAAGGCTCTGAGATCCACTTTGGTGTTTAGTTTGTACAAAAACTGATGTTGAATGAAAGTAGTAGCAGAATGCTAAATATATATATATATATATATATATATATATCAATGTGTTTCAGCATATGACTTTATCAAGGCAAGTGATGATAAAGGATACAAAATGTTACATGTCACGTAAAAAATAAAGCGGCCGTCACCGAAAAAAGTGACCTAACTTGAAGTGACCTGTAAAAAAACTAACACAAGAGAAAGAATTGTATCTTTAACGAGATAAGATTATCTTGTTTACATCAAAATTTTATCAAATTAACCCAACAAACAAATGAGATATCGCAAGTTGAAATTGAAGGGAATTTCACTATATTTTTTTACCCATTTTCGTACCCTTAAGTAGGTCGGTTTGTGATAGGTATCTGCAATTGTCTACACTTTTTATTTCAGAATAAACTAAAAAGCAAGAATGACAGGACAACAGATTTCCAACTTAACCAATAATGATTCTTATTCCAACAACCCCATTAATTAGTCAATACTGATCAATGCAAATTCATATTGTGTGAACAATATTCTGTTTCTGCATGAACATGATTGCTTTTGGTGTATCTATATCAAAAAATGATAAAGCATCTAAATCCACAAATAAACAAATTTGCTGACATCCTCTTGAAGAATTTTTACCTTAATCTTATCCCAGACAGGTTATTTTGTAGTTGTGAAAGGCAGGTGTGGCTGCCTTTCTTGTCCACCAAATTTGAAATGTCATACAACTCCAAATAATGGCTTAAATGGTTTGAAGCAGTGCAGGATTATTTTTTAACTTTTCTCTTTTTATTTTAAATTTTCATTGGTTCTGGAACTAGTGAACTTGACTTTTGATGCTGTTATGACTTATGAATTTTTCAGTATATTTTTTTTTTATTTTCTTGTTAACTTCTTATTGAAATCTCATTTATGATTTGTGAAGAAGTAAATAAAAAAAAATTATATTTTCCAGCATTTTGCAATTTTCATTTTCTGTTAATTGATCATACACAGCACCAAAGTACTTTCCACTCACTACAAAGATGTTTACTTCAAATGTCCTCTTCAGCAGAACTTTTAAGTACAGACATCAATAGCTTCTTTTAAGAAATTTCTTCTTCTCTCTGAGCCTTTTACTGTTTTATCTGTATAAAACAACAGTAAAAAAAAATGGGAGAGTTTGAAAAGTAAACAAACGAAATGCTTAAATGCAAAAGCTTTGTTTAAAATGCAGAGAATTTATGCTGAATGTATTTTCATAATCTGTGAAGTTTTGTTTTCCAAGAGTGTTTCTGATGTTTGTCTTTCTAATAGAAAACCTTTTGTTTGTTTTCCTTGGTTATTTCATACCACATTTCATATTATCACAGAAATATTTCTTTTTTTTATACTTGTGTCTACCCAAAGTAGAGAGTTACTGATTGAGGTTCATGGTATGAATACAAAAAGAAGTAGGAAATTAAGATTATGAAGGATAGATAATGATTGAAGTTAAACTTAACGAGATTAAGATTATAGTGTTTGTGGAAGCATCCACATGGGAGTCTATGCTATGAAGTTGAATTTCTTTGGAAGAAGCTGATTCAGTGGAATTTCCTTCTTATCAGTGGAATATGGAGGGAATGAGAGTGATTTAACCACGTGGACATAGCAAGAAGGCTCTTACCTGTGAAGGTTTGAACTAGTGACACTAAAGAATAGAACTCATCTAAATGTTTGCTATGCAGGTAGCAATTTACCTTTTATGGATGATTTTTTTTAAGCAATGCAAGATTCCACTTGTTTAAAGCAAGCTCTTTGTCATCTTGATATCATTGATGATAAATCAAAGACTTGTCTGACTTTTGTTGTAACAAGAATTAAAACAGTACAAGTTCAGTTGACAAATCTGTGAGAAGAAACTTTGAAAAAACAACTTTAATTCCACCAAGTTATATGTTTTAGTGTTAAAATCTATAATTATTATCAATATTATTATTATTATTATCAGTAATATTATTATTATTATCAGTAATATTATTATTATTATCAGTAATATTATTATTATTATCAGTAATATTATTGGTCCTAATCTGGTGACTCAGCTTCAGTCACTTTGTCTCTCTGTGTCTTTTCTCTAAATACTTTCATGGTAATTGTATGGATGAGATCTTTTTGCAATTGTACCTAGACTTTTTTTTTAATTTAAGGACAATGCTAGACTGGCATGTAGATCTCATCAATTTACAGTTGAGTTGGCTAGATGTAGCCATAAGTTCTATGGTAACATTTTCTCACACTTCTCACTTGTGGAAATCACTTCTGGCTCCACGCTTTCCAGCCAGCAATGTCAGTTACTATCTACCATCCTCCTGATTACACTTTTCCCTTTCTTGCTCATTATTAATGTTTCTGTTCCTAATTCTTCTGCACCCTGTAACCCCTTGTGTCTTAGTAGCTTTACTGCCTTGCATGGGGTGATAGCGATTAAAAAAATTACTGTAGGCAGCAAATTGAAAAGAGAGGAAAAAAAAAAAGAAAGAAATTAAAAGCTGAACTGCCAAACTTTTTGGATATGTAGAAATTTACTGTAAATTGTGCAAACAAGTCAGCCTAGTGTATAAGCCAATCTCGTGATTTTTAGCCCAAACTTCTTAGTGAGTCCCATACCTATCATATAGGTTACCCACTAAACATACAGTAGGCTACCAGTGGTCCAAAACTTAGGCCTACCAGTAAATAAAGTTAGGCTACAGTATATGTTGACCTGCATAAAAACTACATAAAGTCACAACACTTGCGTGTATATTGAGATACTAAACATAATTTATTTCTATTTATGTTGTATAGGAAACAACCTACAACACAAACTGTATATTGTATTGGTATAACTTAGCAAACATTTAAAATTTGTCATTAATAGAATCCTGAATTTGTGTTACTATTTTATTATTTTATATTTCTGTGTTAATATGCCAAATATATTCACCAAGCACAAGTTTTAGTGGGATATATTTGTGGCAGCCTGCTGAAGGTACAGTAAGTGGTGTACAGTAATTGTTAGGTGTGCCGTCCCACTTGTTTACACCTCGGTTATAAAAGTTTGCATTTTATATCCACCATATAAGTTAATCCTTAATTTTGGAAATATTTTTTAGGCTTGAAAACTCAACTTGTATGCCACAATTTATGGTAATTTTTAGTTGTTAAGTTGTGTAAGCTTATGATTATATTTGTCAATATTGGTAATGCAGTGAAATGTATATTGTCAAAATACAGGATGTGGCAGAAATACCTCCCAGAAATATCTCCCACATAATGGAGGTATTTCTGGGAGGTATATGTTGGAAGTAATTCTGCCACACCCTGTATTTAAGTTCCTGTTTTAATATCACCATGACATTTCCAATACATGTTTGATTTCTTTGTAACAGAGCATCCTTGGTGCCTTGGATATCAGCTATATATATATATAAATCTGTTTTCTCATCATTTCTTGTATTGGTTTGAAACATTCAACAGCATAAATGGGAAATTATTAGTTGACATATCAGACAAAAAAGTAACATGTTATGCAGTACTTTCTTGTTCAATGACTAAGAGTAACCTTTGGTCATATTAAATTCCTTCTATCTTCCGTCAGGTACATATGGGGTGTCCAGGCTATCTTCAGTTGTATCCAATTTGTTGCTTTGATTTTTCTGCCGGAATCCCCACGCTGGTTTATACAGAAATCTCGTAAAGAAGACGCAATGAAATCATTGATCAGAATTCGAAAGACAAAAAATGTCGAAGAAGAAATGCAAGAAATTGAAACTAATTTCAAAGAAGTACAGGAATCAATTGAAAATTCAGGTGAAGTCTTTATTTTCTTGTTACATGTCAGGTTAATTTCATAAAAGGATAAGTTTTGGTGGGGTATCAGCGAAAGTTATCATTATCTTAATCTGACTCAATGGCACTCTTCTCATGACACTTGGTGAGAATCAAGAATCATGCATTTCCCAAAAGATAACATTTGAAAAATCATTGAAAGAGTGGCTCTAATTAATTTGAACATTTTCTCTTGGTGTAATTGTCTTAAACAAATGGTGACAAGCTTATTTTTCTTTGAGATCCTGAGAAAACCTTTGAACCCATCCACTTTAGAATTAATATTTGACTGAAAAGATTAATGTCTGACAGTTAATGAATGCATGAAATATTAAAATGCCTCTTGTGTATCAAATTAAATTGTTTTTTGTGTTTAATACACCAACGGTAATTGAACCTGATCTTCTTCAGTTGAAATTGCTTTTCTCTTAACCATATGTGAATCAGCAAAATAAATCTGATTCAATTGGAAGATCGTAAAGTTTAATGTCACACAATATTATATAAACATTTTCTTTTCTTATCTTTTGTTATTTTGATATTGCCTGCTGATTTGATTTAAAAGATATCTTACCTCCAGCTATGGGTAAATAGCAGGACAGACTGGGTCTTATAGCCTTGTATGGCAACTAGTCTAGCAGAAGGACAATGAATTCAAAACTCTAAGCTAAATAGCCTCATCAACCTGTAATTAGCCAAGCATGGTGAGTTCAGCTACATGCCTGAAGACATTGTCAATTAGGGAGTTATTCCTCCAACAGGAGTGGGAAGGCTCTGAATTTGGATATGAATCTCTTCCTTAGAAGTTTTGATGTTGAACTAAAGATAAATCTACTGAAATTTCTCGATGTTACATGCATCTTTCACTTATTAATTCTTGATTTACATACAGGAATTGAATACAAAAATTGTAATACATTTGAAAAATTATTTCATTTATTCTGGTATCATGTAAAAAAGGAAAACTTGAAATGTATACATTTTATTTCTAAATAATTCAAGTCTCATTATTAATAATGAATGCACAAAATATTATAATGCCTCCTGTGTATCAAATGAAATTGTTTCCATGCTTAATACACTGACTGTAATTGAACCAGATCTTCTGCAGTTGAAATTGTTTTTCTCTTAAGCAAATGTAAATTAGTAAAATCAATCTGATTTGATTGGATGATCATGATGTTTATTGTCACATATGATATAAATGCTTTCTTTTCTGATCTTTTGTAGGTGGAGGCAATTTGTTTGTGAGGATGTTTAAAACCTGCTCAGTAAGGCGGGCCTTGATGGTGGGCTGTGGATTACACTTATTCGCTCAGTTTTCTGGTGTGAATACAGTTATGTAAGATATTAATCATTTTATGTTGAATTCATTAATTTACAAGTGTTTCTAACTACATTGTTCAACACTATACTGGAAAACAGTTCCTTTTCAATCTGAATTTCTGGGATGAAAAGTTATCATTATTTACACATGCAAACTATTGTCTTCATCTTTGTTGTTGTTAATGCTGCTAAGTAATGTCCTGGTTTGTTCAAATATTTCATGTTCCAGCTGATGTTTCTGCTAGCAATTCATTTCCTTCAAAAGGGCGTATCCTGCTCTTTGTGCTCTCCTGGAATTGACCGATGCCTTCATTGATAAGACTGGTGGAACTAGCTTTAGGTTTCTACCTCTGTATAGGAATGTCATGCCACTTTTTGATCAAGTTTTTCTAACTGCCACCATTAGTGTCTCACACCAGTTCAGTACCAATTTGATATAGGTTACCCACTAAACATACAGAATTTCTGTGATTGTTTTTTTTAAATCAATTCATCCAAAGCAAGTTGATAATGTCACTAAGACACTTGAAGTGAAAAAGAATGAGAAGACTTTAGAAGGAACTGGGAACCCAATCCTAAACAGGGGACAAGGACTAAACCTCTGTTACTGTTCAAAAGACTGGGGAGGAGTGTGAACCGGAAAATAGGCAAACCTATCTACTCCTATTGATGAGGATGAGGAGCTATCATTATTTACACTATATACACACAGACTATTGTATGTTGTCATTGCTTTTGTTGTTATCATTGAAAACAACAAAGGTGTAAATGGAGTAAATATTTTATTTTCTATCTGGTTTATATGACAGCATGACAATATTCAGGTTCAAATCCAGATTGAAGTTTGTATTTCTCAAATAGTTTGACTATTTCCTTTGTACAGTGATACAAAACTACTATTTCATTATTTACGCTATTTACATTGTTCAGGTTGTTGTCGTCTTCGTTGCCATATTCACAATGTTTCAACTGTAATACACTTCTTCAGGTGATTGAAATTTCAAACTGAACCCTTTATTTCATTCATTGAACAGTCCAAACAATGTAAATAGTGTAAATAATTACAAAGCTCATCTCAGAAATATACAGATACTATTTGATTGCTTTTCATTCATAACTGATCCCTATGTGCATTTTGTGATTTGAAAATTCAAACAGATCACTTGATTAAGGCTTTGAGTGGAATGGCCATACTCTCTCTGTAGGTTGACAACCCCCCCAACCAATGTTTTAAATATATATATATATATATATATATATATATATATGAGCCAATCAAGGGATGCACTCTTGTGCTGACTTCCTTCTTGTTTTTGTACCTGACATGGTATTATGCTACATTTGTGGCTATCAAAAGAAATTCTTAATAAAATAAATATGTGTATAATCATTTTATGTAGATTGCCAAAAGCTTATGCATGCCAATGTACTAAGTCACTGACAACAACCCCAGAACCCTTAACTAATTTATTCCTGCCTCTTTCGATAATAACCATGAAGAAATACTGTATATTTCTGTGTATAATTCGACCTTTAGATAAGACGAGATCCAAAAATATATCAAATTTTCATGAATTTATCCTATAACTGTAGTATATGGAACTATTTTTCGAATAGGCAATTTATTATGAAGTTATGCCAATAATATATAAGGTAGAAATTGTTTTATTACTTTTATTATCAGTTTATTTGATAAGGGGAATCTTTTCATGTACATTATTGGTTATCACACTGAGGTTGAGGTTAGTCTACTGACAAGCATCACCCAGAATTTAAGGTTTCTTTTTTAGAATTTTAATATAAGATGACCCCCAAATTTTTAAGGATGATTTTGAGGATTTAAAGTTCATCTTTTATATGGAAATATACGGTATGTCTCTTGTCTTTGTTGATCATTCTTTGTATTTTACCATTTTCTGTTTTTTCTCTCAGATATTACAGTGGAACCATAATACAAATGTCTGGCATTGGAAATGTAACAAATGCAATTTGGAACTCTGTCATTGTCAACAGTGTTACTCTTGTATTTTCCATTATTGGAGTGTGGTTTGTTGACTCAGTTGGGAGAAGGAAATTGGCAATTATTGGACTCTTAGGTAATGTCTATTTTTGTTTTTTATGAAATCAAATTAAAACATATGTCCTATTTCACATATGCTAAGATACATGAGATAAGGCCATGCTATTAAAATGATTCAAAGTAAGTTTTTTTGTGACTCATTCATTTTCACTACAGATAAACTTGTATATAACCATCTGACAGTGTGATTAGCACATGATGCTTCACGTGATTAATATTTAATTTATTCATTTGAAAATACAAAAAAAATTTTAAATAAAAAATTATTATGTAAAGCAAAATGTATTTTTTAGATAAATTATTATGTAAAGTAAAATGTATTTACTTTACACATCTAATTTTCCTTAGTGAAAATCATTTAAAATGGTTTAAAATGATAAAAATATTACCTTTGATGAAAGTTTAAACTTAATCATTGTTTATGTACAAGAGTGAACAAGTGGGAATGAAATGAAACAAACTAGATTTTAAGAAATGTTATTTTCTTCATGAAATTAAGTGTGTCATTGATAAAGCCAAATGGGCTGTATGAGGCTTGCAGGTCGCAATTTGCACATGACTGCTCTAGACATGGACAGCAGAATGAGAACAGTCTACTCAACATTTTTTTGTTTTTAGTAGAGGGTTTTCAATGATTGTGGTGCTGAAAAACAGCTCTTCTTTCCAAGCATTTGAATGAAGGCAACATATTTTCTCACAATATACTGAAGTAACTTTCATCATTCATGATTCTGTTCATAAAATACAGCTCACCAATCCAAGATCATATTTCCACCACCATGCTGACTATTGATAACACGTGTTGAACTTGTCATGATGACACCAAACTAATTAGAAAAAAAAACAGGTTAATTTTTGGTGTCATCTGACTACAGTATGCCTTTTCAAATGTTAAAATTTTAACCTTAAATCTTCTGCTCAAATTTGAAATGAGATTTTGTTTCTGTCTCAATTTCAGTTGTGGTTTCTTATGTGGTAGTTGGCCATGTAAATCATTTTTCTTCAGATTACATTTATTTTGTTATAATTGAAAGATTCATGGTACACACTTCTTTGAACTCACTGGCAACAGCTACTGTTAAATTTCTATTCCATTCCCCCCCCCCACCTCTCAAGAAATCTCCTGATCAAATGACTAGACTTTGGTATCAACTTGCATGGTTGACATTGTCATTTCTGTACACCTCTGACATTTCAATTTCATCTTGTGATTTTGCTCAGTTAACTTTGCTAAGCATTCATCTTCTATATAAACAAATGCATGTGTCAGTGTGTCACACTTTTTCAACTTTACTCCTAGAGGTTATAGGCCAACATTTTGAAATCAGGCTGACTCTGTGAGCAAATTAAAAACATTCCAATCAGGATCCAAGCCTGTAATCCTGAAATTTTGGATTCCCAAGTTTTCATTACTGTGATTGTTTTTGGCGACATTTTTTTTTGTGATTTTTTTGTGACATTTTTTTTGTATGATAACAATTTTTATGATTTGAAAATAAATTTGGGAATTATTGAAATTAATTGTGAAATCTTGCAAAAATCACCCATGAAATAAAAATAATTGTTTGTATGAAAGTAAGGACCTACATACATAAAATTGTCTTTAAATTAAGTGGCGACAAAAATATTATTGTTGAACTTTTAAAAGGTAAGCCTAAATATTAATGCAATGCTTAAATGCAGCGATCAATTTTGAGTTCTTCTGTAGTTTATTGTTGCCTATTGCATAAAGCAACAGTATGCCTTGCAAAAAGAAATCTCTGTCAACAAAGGACCAAATTGCAATAAAAAAAGGTCAAGGCTGCAGCAAGGAAAAGAAAGACCCATGCAAATGGCAACCAGGTTAGCATCCAATGCTGAGAATATGCAAAGACTTAGGGACTCTCAAACTCCTGAAGAAGCTGAAGGCCAATATCTTCGATAGTTATTAAGATATACAATGTTGTAATATGATGCAGACTTTTGAAACATCCTCTGTGTGTGTGTGTGTATATCTATCTATATATATATATATATATATATATATATTAGTTGAAAATACATTAGTACTTCATCAAAATGATAATAAGAAAAAACTTAAAATTCTAGAAGCCCTTTATAGAGAATTAAAAAAAAAAAGTCAACTATAGCAACAAAGTTCTTAAATGTTTGTAGCAGCAAAGTTTTATATAAAATACTAAAATAAAATCTTATAACTTAATATTATAACTAAAAATCTTTTTCATTTTTTTAAATATTAAAATAAAAAACTACAAAAGTTACTGCCCTTGCATATTCAAATTTGGAATGCTGTAAATCAACAGTGAAAAAATATTTTGAATTTATGGAGTTAATGTATACACATGCACATAGTTTTTAATCCCCTGAAGATGGTCTCCAATGAGATTGAAAGTACTTGGGAAAATAAAAATTCTTTGTAAGAAAAGTTTGGAATTTTTCTGAATCAATTTTCTACAGCCACCAAAAAATTAATTGTGGAGTTGAAAGGATTAAAACTAAAATAAATCGACATAGTACAACTAAATTATTTAACCAAACATGCTTGAATATATATATATTTGCCATTATTTGCAATTATCTATTCAATAACTTTCAGAAAAATTCTTCAGGTTTTGACATGAAAATTTTTTTGTTAAACTCTTGAATTGGTTTTATTAGAGAAAGTTTTCTCCATCAAAGCATTTTTCAGCAATCAAAAAAGATAATAATTGCTTGGTTGAAGGTTAGAGGAATATGGTGGGTTGAGTAGAACTGAGTTCCAAAATCTTTTTTTCTGTGTTAATCTTGCTTTGTGTTGTTATGGAGGAGAACATCTTTTTTTTTTTTGATAAATGTACTTTTTGACCAAACTTTTAGGCACATGTTACAGCTGCTGGATGTATAAATGTGCATTTAATGTTTCATTGCATTTTTAATAACTCTAAATGAATAATATCACAATAATCCCACCATACGCACAACATTAACTTTCTTCCATGGATCTCAGATCCAGTGTCATTTGTGCAGATATATCCTTGTCAATCCACTGCATATCGAACATTGTTGTGTGTAACCTATTTTTCACCATCTGTTTTGATATATTTAAGAAATGGGTTATATCTCTGTTGTGAAAAGAGACTTGTCTCTATGGTTAAGGGATGTGCTTTGTTCTTTACTCTGAGAGCATATGGAACCAAAACACCCAACCTACTGACTTTCTTTGCTAAATGTTGGCATATGATAGATTGTAATATGTTTGACAGCTCTAGTAATTCTTGAGTACTTTCTCACAGATTGCTTTTGTCTAATGACTTTAGAACTTTATCGTTAAAGTCCGATGATCATGCTGGGTTCATATTTCAATGATGTTTCTCCAGAATGAAATTTTGCAAACCAATTTCATACTTGCCAGTCAGTTATGACTCATTGGCCATAAACACAACATATTTTTTTCTAGAGGTCTCTCTAGCATTATTCCCCTTCTTGAACCACCCCTATAACATTATGTAGCACAAATGCACTTTCCCTCCATTCATTAGTGGTGGGATTTAAGAAATTTTATTCTTTAATCCCCTGAACATAGGCTTGCAGCCACAACAGGTTGAAACACCAGTTTCCATATGATCACCAAAGTTAAACAACATCAAGCCTCGTCAGTATCCAGATGGGTGGTCATTTGGGAATACCAGCTTCTTCTCCCCCAGCTATGGGTTAATTATTAAGACTAAACCATTATTATCTCCCCTCCCCCAACAATTTTTACAATCTAAGAATATTTTCAGGCTTTAAATAACCTGCAAAGAGTTGATAAGCTGTAGAAAATGAATCAATAAAAAAAACAAATGTGCATGCTGCCACTGCCATTAATTTATTCTTGACTTCTACCCTATGATTTGTGGTTAAGATAATACATTCGTAATTACAAATGGTTCCCTAAAATGGAAATTAGTTTCCACAGATGACATGAAATCATAGTTTTCTAGAAAACTAAGGGAAAATTTCGAAAATGATGATGCAAAAACATGAATAAATACTTTGAAAAGAATCTTTATTGTCTGTATTGTAGGTCTATTCTTCAGCAGTTTGTGTATCGGAACAACTTTCCTTATGGAAGCCATATATTCCCCAAGGGTCAATACCACAAACGATTTTCTCAACAACACCTGTTCTACATACAGGTAAGAATTCCATTCTTCAGATATGATCACTATTTAATTAAAGTTAACAGATGAACCTTAATGACTAATTATTCCATTGAATCAAATTTTAACTTTAACACTTTAAGAAAGAAATGTTCATTTGTCAACTTGTTCTACGACATTCAATGGAATTTATTGACTTCTTAAGGAATCATGTTTGTTTTTTAAACTCCATATTATAAAGGCATTTTTAAAACTTCATGAAATGTGTCTTGGAAATGTAGTTCAAAATATATCTGAAGATTCTTGAACAAGGAAATATATATTTTAATAATTTCAACTTGATGTATCCCTGAAAATTCTGTTGTTGACAACTAAGATATATCTTTATTCTTGTAAATACTGACAGGATAGGACTATTTTATATGTAATTAGTAAAAAATGAATTTGAAAGTGATGTTTTAATAAAAGAAGGAAAACCAAGAAAAAAGTATGGAAGGAAAGATATTGTGAAAAATGTAAGGCTGAACTTAGGAATCTGTTTCAATAGTTTTGAGTTTATTTTTTTAAGATCATTTTTCTGATGAAGTTACTCTTAGAATATAATTGTTTGGCTGCAATACAAATCATAAAGAATAATTCTACCCCCCAAGTCCCCCAATGATCTCAAATTCTGAATTTGACTTTATTCATCCTTTCACTTATGAGGTAAAAAAAGATAATTTTTGTGCTTTATAACAAACTCAGTATTTGACACCATTTTGCTAAAAATGTTCTCATTTAGCTGTGATCTTTGATGACTTCTAGTGACCTTAAAAGACTCTGAAGTCAACTTCATATGACCTTTCTTGCAAATACATGTTTTGTCAGTCTCTCTGCCAATAAGTTAATGGGTCTTGTTGTTTAAGCATGGTCATAGCACAGATACAAAAACAGAAGACTCCATATCAGATTCTGGAACAAGGTTTAACATTATTGTTATGCTTTAGTAATGAGGACACAAAACTAAATCTCTCATATATAACAATATATTTTATTCAACTTTAGACTTTGTCAATCATTATCAGCCAATGGGTGTGTGATTTTGGAACCTTCTCCAAATGTGAACTCTACTTACCCACAAGGATGTATGAAACTCTCTTCTCAGTGGTGGGTGTTTATATATCTTTCTGTTGTCTGTTTTTCCCACATGTGCACATATTAGTCATGGCTGGACCAACCATATGTTTATATGTTGAGGGAAAGCCACTGACTGAGTGAAATATGGATCTATCATCTCTCAGGTTAACCTGCTAATGAACCTGGTTTCTCTAATGTGCACTGAGTGAAAATTCTATTTTGTCATTATCTGAGGTGGAGGTCACATACTACAAAGGTAGGTATACTTCAATAATTAGTTATGAATTAAAACAAATTACTGTACATGGATTCAAGTTTAAAAATCCATCAACATTTTCTACTTTTATTAAATTTGTAAATCTCTTCTATAAAAATAATCAATGTATATGTACTAATATGAGAAAGAATATATACATATTTGAAATGTATCCGAGTTGGACAATCTTGGAAAGTGGGGGTGGGGGTGCATAATGACATTCTAACTTAGGCTGAAAAGGGTATTTGGGCAAAAAAGGTTGAGAGCCACTGAGCTAGAGTTTCTTAATATGAGTTTTGTCAATTTTTTCTTCTTTCCTATTTTTCAGTGCTAAAAAAATTTTGTTTAAATTATCATTTTTGTTCCAGTCAATGTAATGACTGCGTCAGTGATGTACATTGTGGCTTTTGCTACAAAGATACAAGTGATATCATGAACAGTGCTTGTCTACCAGTCAACAATACTGCTCAGCTGTTATCCAAAGTAGGGGCATGTAACTCTTCATTAAATCTTTCGAAATATTCCATGAAATGGGCTTATGATTATTGTCCTGTATCTTTCTCGTGGGTAGCAATTATCGGGCTCACCCTTTTCCTCATGTTCTATGCTACAGGTAAGTGAATTCTTTTCTTCTATGCTTGATGTCACTTTATTATTTTTTTTTTAATTCTTACATTATTTGTTATATTACAATTGAATTTCTCTTTGTATTTCATCAATTGATCTTTGGAAATCTTTAGTCATTCCCCTCACAGTACTTTGCACAAACACACACACACACACACACACACACACACACACACACACACACACACACACACACACACACACACACACACATATCCCACAGACATTTTGCACAAATTTGAAATCTGATTTTCAGTAATAAAATATTTGATCTGCAGTTCATGAGCCCTACATTGTCAACTTGATTTGTAATATTGAATCTAATGTATCGGCTTCATAATTATTTTTTTTTTAATTTCAAACTAAGAGGAAAATTTTAACAAATGGCAAAAAGAAAAAATAAGAAATAAATGTCTCATGTAAATATAATTTGCAAAACATCCAAAGACTAGCAAAGATACCTGGCACTGCCCAGGAAAAATAACTTCAAATATAACAACACAAGAAAAATATTTTTTTAAATATTTCTCATTTTTTTTAAATATCATGTCCTTTTGACATGTAGGTGATCATGGCTCTCCACAGATTCCTTATATATATCAGGTCATCCCATAAGTTCTGTCCGAATTTTAACTTTTTGTTAAAATGAATGAAATTTAAAGAGTATTTTATAATGTCTAATGCAGCTGAACATTATTTTTATGTTTAGATGCATTTAAACTGATCAAATTTTATTTCAGAGAACAATAAAATTAAATTTTGTTTGATTAAAACCCTGCTAACATGGAAGTACCCAAGAATCATTTGAGGGACATAATGCTTTATGAGTTCAAGAAAGGAAACTCAGCAGTCGAAGCAGCTAGAAACATTCACTCAGTTTATGGATAGGAATGTGTGAATGGAAGAACTTGCAGAAGATGGTTTGCAAAATTCAGAGATTTCACCCTTGAAGATGAAGATCGAACTGGACGTCCAGTTGAGTTTGATGAAAAGCTTCTTGAAGCAGCCCTTGAAGAAAATCCTGCTTTATCATTTGAGGAATTGGCAGTGGTTCTCAGTTCAAACCATACAACTGTTCATCGTCATCTTCAACAACTTGGAAAAGTTCCTAAACTTGGAAAATGGGTGCCTCATGAATTGTCTAAAAAACAACCTCAAATCTCGAGTTGACATCTGCTCTTCTCTCCATTCTCGCCAACTTGTTTCACCTTTTTTGGATAGACTTTTGTTGAAATGTTAAGCATCGTAGATAGTGTCTTGGTAAAGGGGAAGGACCCCAGCCACAGCCAAAAAGGGAACTTCATGGGCAAAAGGTTCTTCTTTCAATCTGGTGGGATCGCTAAGGAATAATCCACTTTGAATTCTTACCACCTAATGCAACAATTAATGCTCAAATATACTGTCAGCAATTAGAGCATTTGAACCAAGCTTTGAGGAAAAAAAGACCTGCTCTAGTGAATCGAAAAGAGGTGATGTTTCATCAGAACAATGCGTGACCCCACACAGCAAGAATCACGTGACAAAAGATCGAAGAATTTGGTTGGGAAATAATTCCTCATCCACCTTTTTTTCCCGATCTTACTCCTTCAGACTACCATTTGTTTCGTAGCTTACAGAATCATTTGGAAGAAATAGCTTTTGTAACACAGGAAGAGGTTAAAACTGACATTTGTGAGTTCTTCGAATCAAAGCCAAAAGAATTTTTTTACAGTAATGGAATTAGTAAGCTTGCTAATAGGTGGAAGGAAGTCATAGATAATCAGGGAAAATACATTGTTGATTGAATCTGTAATGAAATGTAACATTTGGTCACTTGTTTTCTTTACTCAAAATTCGGACAGAACTTATGGGATGACCTGATATATGAATTACTATAACTTATTGGGAAAGATAATGGAGTGCTTTCCTGCTACCTTCTCCACTGTTTAGAATCCAGAGTTTTCTTTTTCTTAAATTAGTTGCCATTTGAGGTTAAAGAGCCCAGTCTACTCTGTTATTTAACCCATAGCTGAGAGGAAAAGAGAAAGATTCAGGCTTTTTCTCAAGGGTATTTATGCAAAAAGTGAATACTACAAACAGGCCAGAGTAGTGAACTCATTTATTTTATTTCTCATACAGATAACTGTTATAAGACTGGTACATCCAATTTTTTCTTATATGTAGAGATGTTATTGAAAAGAAATATTCTGATGTGTAAAACTAAACAAATGATATAGTCTCTGAGTTTATTGACAATCTAACCCAAGAACAAGTGACAGAACTTGGAGAAGTCATATATATATATATATATATATATATTATACACATGCTGCATGCCTTTCTCAAAATTAATTTACATGGTCACTTCCTGAAGGGTTTTATCATACAGGGTGTAACAGCAAAATTGTTCATCCCACAAAATGTTTAATACTTAAAAAAATACTAAACTAATTGAGTTTCTTTTTTCTAGATGTTTTCAAAATAAGATGTTTATCTATCTTGATACCATTTGTCATAAGAATTCCTGAAGAACCCTTTGAGTTATTCAGCTAAGAGTGACGAAAGAATCTGAGAAAAAATGTTTATTTGGAAGAAAGGACAATAAAACAACAGAAGGAAATGACTACTGATATTGCACTTAAATTTTAGAACATTTTAGTCAACAAGAAAGTAAGAAGCTGGAAGTGAGTTCTACAAATGAGTAGTATTAGTGAAGAAACTATTAGAATAGTACTTACAGTTATATTTAGCATTATCAACGATCAAATGATGAGCCCTAACTGCCAATCTAGGACTGTACTTAAATTCATGAAGTTCATCAAAACAACAACCATGAAAATCTTTATAGAAAAGTTACAAAGCTATGTTATGGTGGTGAAGAAGGGATTGAAGCTGAGATACCAGATCAGGAACAACAACATTGCAGATTCTTCTTTGGATCCCAAAGTGAATTATGTTTCAAATCTGGTTGACTTTTGTGAATTTACCTAAAATTGCCAGTAATTTCCTTTTGAAGCTAACATTATCCTTTCATAAATATTTTTTTACTTTTTCTTTCCTAAGGTATGGGTCCCCTTCCATGGACAGTGAATGCTGAGATTTATCCTCTGTGGGCACGCAGCATGGGTAGTGGAATGGGAGCCATGACTGGTTGGTTTTGTAACTTGATTATTGCAGTCTCATTTCTGTCATTTATTGAATTCATTCAAAATTATGGTAAGAATGACAAATGCCTTTTCTTATTAAGTTTCTTAAAGTAGATGTTGGCTATATATGGTTACTAATTTCTGTGTGACATGATTTTAACCATGTAATTTTATTGTTACACCAGTTAATGAAAACACAAGGCTTAGTCTCTCAGTGTTATTGCAATTTTATTCAACTTCAGACTTTATCAATCATTTTCAGCCTTGTGGATGTGTGGGTGTTCTTGGGACTTTCTCTAAATGTGCACTCTGCAATCTCATGTGGATGTAAAGATAGACTGTGTCACTTTCTGGGGTGGGTGTTCATATGTCTGCTTCTCATTGTTTTTTCTCACATACCCTAACCACAGGTAGGCCAATCCTATGGATCTGCTAAGGTCACCACTGACACTGGGTGAATTGTAGATCTCTATTCCCAGCTAGGAGATCTCCCTTTCAGTTCAACCCTGCACCTGGCTTCTCTAAGTGTAAAATCTATTATAACATTATCTAAGGATAAGCCTCATACTACTAGTGTATTGAAGACAAGACATGAACTATCTATCTTATGTCTATTGTAGCCAAATACTATCATTTATAGCCTTTTCGGAATAGGTGAGATAATTACATATTTCCCACTGGTTCTCATGGGCTGTATTGGAATTATAGAAATGCCAGATGCTTTTTAATCATTTCACTGCAAGCAAGGCAATAATGTCACTAAGATGCAAAGAGCCACTGGAAGTGAAAGAGGATGAAAAAGATTTCAGAAGGAACTGAAAATCCAATCCTAAACAGGAAAAGGATAAACCTCTACTCCTGTTCAAAAGACCAGGGAGTTACATGAACCAGATGATAGGTAAACCTATCTACCCCTAATGAGGAAAAAAATTAATAGTAAATAAAGTTTCAGAGTTTAGGCAGAGACGTTAGAAGATATCAAGTTGAAATAGACTTTCTAAGGAACCAGAAACCCAATCCTAAATAAGAAACAAGGGATAAACCTTTACGCCTGTTCAAAATATCAAGGAGGAGTGTGAATCAGACAATAGGTGAACCTTGAATATCAGTTTTCCTTTTTGGCAATTGGTGCAACACATTCTTCCTATTTCTATTAAGCTTTGACCATGTACTCTAAAAATAATTTTATCTGAAATTTTCATCTTACTTTTTTTTCATTTTGCAGGTGTTTTCTACTTGATGGCTTCCATGGCCCTGATTGGGTCAGTCTTTTGTTGCTTCTTTCTGTTTGAGACAAAGAACAAGACATTGGAAGAAATTGAAATGTTATTCTTAACAAAGAAACAAAATTTATGATGTTGAAACTTCCCTTCACAATGTTTTCTTTCTTTTTAAGATTTGGGAATCTAACACTTTCTATTTTAATCACTTGAAAAAAAGAATGGTTCTTGATTTTTTGCCAGAAATCACTGCACCATTGTTGTTTATTATATTTCTCTATGGCTGTTGATTAACTTCAGTAAATTTCTTGAGGCCATATTTTTTATGCTTTTCTAAGACTCAGACACAACTAACAATTCTTACAACCTAATTTCATGGCTGAGGTAGTTGCATAATTCCCTACTAACATTATTGGTTGGTGTTCAAAGGCCCTAGTAAAAGCTGTGATTTTGACTGTTAAGTTTCAGTGTAAACAGACATTATTCAGTTGGAAGATTGGCTCTACACCATTTCCCTTTATTTGACCTTGTGTGAAGCAAGTTAAGTTTATCTCCTAAGATTATCAAATCAATACAATTTAGTTGAAAATGATAGGATCTTCAAACAGACAACCAGCAATTGCAAGCAGACAGGTTGAGAGAGAAAATAGAGAAATATGGAATGAAAGAGAAATATATAAACATATACTAAATTATTAAAATATATGAACCAACCATAAGGATTTTCTTATTTACTATTTTATAAAGTTAGAATTGATTAGCATTTGGACAGTGTTTTACTAACCATTCCATAAACAAACTAATAAATAGTGTAAATAAAAATAGTAATAAATAAATAGTGTTTATTATTTTTGTTGTAAATTCACTTTCATATATTTAGGTTTTATTACAATTCTAATCATTGCTTTTGAAAACAAAAAGGAGTGAAGGTAATTAAAATAATAGCAGTTGATGAAAATAACCATCCTTTTGAGACTGCATTTTTTTTGCAGGTATGAAGGTGTAAGATTGTTCATGAGTAAGACTGTAGCAGTACAATCTTCTCATCCAAACTGATATACTGAATTATGTTTAGTAAATCTCAAGATTTTTTTTTCTAGATTTCAAGAACTTACCTTTTTCACTAAAAGTATTTACACATTATATTTAAAAGTTTCTAAGCACTTTTATTTAATTGACTCTTTCAATCTGTTATATTTATCTGCGTGCTCCTGATATGTTTAGTGGGTGAAATGATATTGAGTAGATCTTAGTCATTAGTAGTCTTTTTTTTCTTTATTTTCTTTATATTTGGAGGATTACATGTGCTCAAGCAGTCTTTTTCTACACCTTGCAAATATTACATTTGTGTATTTGTAAAATCTCACATACATATTTTGAACCTGCATTTGCAGGTAGACTTAGATTGACACAAGTCCATAATGTCTATCTGTCAATGAGAACTGAACTCATTGACAATAGCTAACAAGACCTAACTTCCCGACCAACAAAAGAAGCAAGGACAGAAAATGACTAAATTGAAATTTTGTTTAGAACTTCAAAATGAGAAACATTACAAATTTTTCTTTTTATCAGGAGAAAACTTTTTTTAAAGAAAGAATTCATTTGTTTCTTTCCAAAATCAGATTTTTAATATCACTGCTGTTGATGTCATATTCATACACATATGTAATATGATAAAAATATGGATTTAAGTTATGCTATATTTATGGGTAAAAGTCATCAATATCAGGGATCTATGTAACTGTAAGAGTTAACACCACGTAGTGACAATATGTTTCATGCTTAAACACAATCTTCTTGAAGCCTGAAGATTGTGTTCAGTCATGAAACAAAATGTTGTCACTTGGTGTTGACCTCATATATATATATATATATATATATATATATTAGATTATTGCTCATGATAGTGGTTTATGGCCATATCACAGTGAAACACTGATTTCCACATGAACACTGAAGTTAAGCAATGTCAAGCTTGGTCAGTAACTAGATGGCCAACCAGTTAGGCATACCAGGTGCTTTAAGCTTGGATGTATGGGTGGTGTAAAGGATGATGGCTTAAAATTGTTATTCGGAGAGCTGAGTTCCAATTTAGGTTCATTATATTCACTTACATGCAAATTCCCTTGGGAAAGGTATGTATCTACCATGTCTCCCTCTCCTAGTTATGGGTGAATTAGTAATATTTGTATCAGTAAATCATTATTATCTCAGCAAAAAACTTTACAATCTAAAAATATTTCCTAATTTTAAATAACCTGCAATAAAAAGCATAAAAATGAATCAATCAATCGATGCTGATGACAGTGGTTTTAATGTTGAGAATAATATTTTACCATTACAGATTAACATATCAGGTTTATTCATTTTTAGTCATCACTCTTATAGTTTTGTGCCCAATAAGTTTCATAAACATGTCTGTGTACCTGTATACATATACATATTTGTGTAGATTGCATGTACATATATGTCTGTGTATATGCAGATGTTCATACAGTGCATATATCTTTCTTTGTGTCTATATAAAAAATGTTTAATACTAATGGAGATAATATTTAATAAACAAAGTTACAAATTTACAAAAAATAAAATCAATTAAAATTTTTTTTGCAATTTCTTCTGTTACTTTTTTCTTTTATTTCTTTATTTACTAAGCTTAACTTTGTCAGGTACAAGGTCATTTGGAAATAACTTTATGAAGATTTTGCCTTATGCCAGACTTACCTGTGTTGATACCCTGCCTTCCTTAAAAATCAGTATTTGAAATTTTAATTTTTAGCTATAATTGAAAACTACCCATTGTTCCAGAAGGGAAATGCAACTATTTCAACCACCAGGTTGATCTTTTTTTATTTTATATTTTTATTTGATCTTTTTTGTATATGATGATTATTATAAATGCATTGAACTATTAATAAATGAACAATTTTATATTTATTAATCAAGAATATATTCAAGAGCTGTTTTAAATCGCTTCCATTTTACATATACTCCAATGATAAAAATAAGTCTTGGATGGAAAAATATTCTGTTTGTTTCACAAAGATTTTCCAAGTACTCAAATGTATTGACTGCTATTGAATTGAGAGGTTGTAGATTTGAGAACAGGATTGAACAAGACCATTAAACCTTTTAATCCAATCCAAGCCTTTACAATACTTCATACATTTTTTCACCAATTTGACAGTTTTACTATTCACTTAATTCAATTATAATAAAACTACTATTTCTGGACACTGAAACATTGATAAATTTCTACAAAGATGGTGACTGAAGATCGATTCCTATTTTTAAAATTTCACTTCTTTGATTTCAATGGATGTACTTCTACTGATAGAGGCTGAGAATACTATAGACAGGGCATGTGAGGAACAAGGAAGTCTTAAGGCAAATAGAAGCAAAAAGAACACTTAGAACTAGAAAGAGACAGTTGAAATTTTTGGGACACATAATGAGGAAAGAGGGCTTGGTGTATTTGACACTCAGAAGACAGGCAAGAAGGAAATAATTAAAAACCTACCAAATGATCTTGTGTAAATTGATAGCAGGACAATGGTGGGATGGATGATAAAAAGATAGACATTACTTTGAGCTACAAAAATGTAGGAAGTTGTGGAGAGCTTTAATCACTCATGTTCTGAAGGAACATGACAATAATAAGAAGAAAACATTGAATAATCATCAAAGAGTTTTAACATTTACTTTATGAGAAAATGACTATTTTGTTCTGTTCATTAACAGAAAGTTGTGGAGAGCCATGATTGCTCATGGTCTGAAGGGGCATTATACTTAATAACAAGAAGCCATAGAATAATCATCAAAGAGAAATTTTTAACATTTCATTTTTTTTTTTGTTTACTCATTAGGGTACCACATTGAAATTAACCATTTGAATCACTGTAAGGAAATTTACCACTATCTACCTCACACCAAGCCATGAAATCTTTTTTTGTTTTGCCTTCCATATGTTAAAGAAGATATATAAAAATAGAGAGAGGCTATTCACAACTATTCTATGATAGCAAATATATTAATCATATATGTGTCTTTTTTATATGTAAATATATAAATGTCTTTATTTTTCATATACTTCAACTTACTTTTATATATTTTCAATGCTGCACTCTAACACTGATATTGTTATTAATATGTATTTTATATCTTTTATCAATAAAATGATTTTTTTAAAAACTCTGAATGATATGTTTTTCTTAAAACCTGTCGAGAATATAAAAGACCATGACAAATAATTTAGTGAGAGACTGAATGAAAGAAAATCCTGCATGTTTTTATCCTTGGAGATTGTGAATATTACTCTAGGCCAGCAAGTAAGAAAAGTTCTCAACCTGACCTGCTTCCTGTAATTTAACGAGATGATCAAATATTAGAACTTTGGGAAGTTTTCCTTTTTTGTTTGGGCTGAGAACTTTTCAACATCCCCCATATGGCATAAAAAGCAGTTTCAAATCCAACATCAGGATGTATGATGATTTGCTAAAATCCTAATTCCATATCCATTTTGAGAAACATATTTCATTTTGTATAAGTGCTCAAGCATATCTCACATGTAGGCTGATCATGTGCGTCTTCACTTGATGGCTAGGCTGTTGTTTCAGGTCAACCATGCATCAACCTTCTTTGATGGTCTGATATGACATTGAATACAAAGACTATTCTGGGGTGAGACATATGATATAGGAACTAACCATGGCTCTTGCTTATATTATATAATGTTAGTAATGTCTGATGACATTACTAACTTTATGAGACTAACTTTATGTAAAATAATTATATATTCACTTCTGAATGTTATCAAATTAATGTCAACTGAATCAGGGATATATGGTTTCAGGTTTTTCTTTAAGCATTCAATCTTCTTGCAAGAATCTATGGTATTCTGTTTCTCCCTTTGTGAGTTGAGCATTTATATAACTTCTTTTAATTCAGTTGAGTTCACTTCCTGTTTTATGTCAGTACAATGACTAACATCCTTTGACACCCGATTCTGAACTTCTGGTGACTTTGTGGGTACCTTCCAGGTTAATCCTCAGTGTTCTGAGGCCATTTGACATTTTGAGATGACACAAAGTACAAAACCTACTTTGGTATCTCTTAAGCCCAATATATATTGGG